TATGCAATTATGTAGAGAATTTTATAAGCTTTTCATACATGTAAAATAAAATGTATGCGCTTGAACAAGTTTTTGCACAATTTAAATAAATGTCGAAAAATGTGCTCGCAAATCAGTTCTTATCGATTAAGCTGAACCACCATTGTTGATATAATTCTAGAATTGGATAATAAATTAATACACAAAAGTATTTATTTAGTGATTGTAATATTTACTTTTATGTGTTTAATTTCTTTTTCGGAAAATTTCTCTCGTCTAAATAAATATTTTTGCTCCTGATAAACTTCTATCGTTCATTTCGTCCTTGTTACTGAGGAAATAAATTTCATACATTAATTCGCGAGTATATTAACAAATTTGTAGAATGTTGTTCTGCGACCAAGCACAATGCTCGAAAATGACGTATGTTATTAGTTGATATTGTTCGTTCGTTTTTTTTCGTTTCCTTTCGCCCCTTTCGCGTAGGTTATAAATAGGAGTGCGCGAAGGAATTCTTGGCAGTCGTCGGCCGCGGCCGGCGCCAGCGTCACCTAGGGTGGCGCTGAAAGCCCCCGGGGCACCAGGCCGGCGGCTCCCATCGGAGCTGGAGTGGTCGGGAACCCCGGGGCATCCGCCGGAGACTCCCGGCCACGGAGATTCCGTGCCACGGAGACTCCGAGCCACGGGGACACCGTGCCTCGGAGACTCCGTGCCTCGGAGACTCCGAGGCACGGTGACTCTGAGCCACGGAGACACTTCGTGCCTCGGAGACTCCGTGCCACGGGGACTCCGAGGCACGGAGACTCTGAGCCACGGAGACTTTGTGCCTCGGGGACTTCGTGCCTCGGAGACTCCGTGCCTCAGGGACTCCGTGGCACGGAGACTTCGGGTCACGGGGACTTCGAGCCACGGGGACTTCGAGGCACGGAGACTTCGGGTCACGGGGACTTCGAGCCACGGGGACTCCGTGCCATGGCGACCCCGGAAACCGTGAGACTGCGGCGAAGTCGATTCAATTTATATTTTTATGACGTCGTAATTAGATTTTACTCTCTATGTCTGGAGTCTTCGGGGCCCGGAGACTTTGTGCTTCGGGGACTCTGTGACTTCGTGCCACGGAGATTCCGTGCCACGGAGTCCCTGAGGCACGGAGTCTCCGAGGCACGAAGTGTCGCGGCCGACGGCCGACGACTGCCACGAATTCCTTCGCTCACCCCTATTTATAACCTACGCGAAAGGGGCGAAAGGAAACGAAAGGAAACGAAAACAAACGAACGAACAATATTAAGTAATAACATACGTCATTTTCGAGTATTGTGATTGGTCGCAGAACAACATTCTACAATTTTGTTAATATACTCGAATTAATATATGAAATTTATCTCCTCAGTAACAAGGACGAAATGAACAATAGAAGTTTATCAGGAGCAAAAATATTTATTTTACGAGGTCCCCGAGAGAAATTTTCCGAAAAAGATACTGAAAACATAAAAGTAAATATTACAATCACTAAATAAATACTTTTGTGTATTAATTTATTATCCAATTCCAGAATTATATATCAACAATGGTGGTTCAGCTTAATCAATAAGAATTGAATTACGAGCACATTTTTCGACATTTATTTAAATTGTGCAAAAACTTGTTCAAGCGCATACATTTTATTTTACATGTATGAAAAGCTTATAAAATTCTCTACATAACTGCATATAACGATTTTCAACTTTTGGAACAAAAACATGACGGAAAAAGTCGTCAAAAGTTTAATATAATTGCAAACATTAATGAAATGGTTATACATTTTCTCACATTTGTTTGAATTGCGCAAAAACTTGTCAAAACACAAAATTTTATATTACATAGATAAAAAGCTTATAAAATTCTCTACATAACTGCATTTAACGATTTTTCAACTTTTGGAACAAAAACATGACAAAAGATTTTGTTAAAATTAATTTAGAAGCATTTGAGCCCTTGGGAAAAAAGAAATTCGAAATTGTCCATATTAAGGACCACCCTAATACATACATACATACATACATATATATATATTGTAAATTTTTAGCAGCCCCAACAGTCGAATTAAAAAAAAAGAATTAAATAACAAAAATTATTTATTCCATTATACGTTTCGACACTTGATGTGTGTCATCATTCAGTAATCTAAAAAACATTTAACATAATTGCACAAGTGATGATAAATATAAATATTAAAAGGAGGAAATGTTATACATACCAAACCAGGAAAAACAAAAACATTATTATGATGTGAAATTGATATAACACTAACTTTGTGTAAAATAATAAAAAACTATTATTAACAAAAACGAGATTATAGGAGGAGCAAATATCCCTCCTATATTTAAGTTAACATCAAGAAGTGTTGTGTGACTATCAAGGATAAACATACACTCAGCGCAGTGTACCCACGTGCGCGTATGGGAATGGGAGGAGTAGCAGAACGAAAGGGGAAGGAAAAAACAGAGAAGAAATAAAGAATGAAAGATTCTAAAACTGTATTGAATTACTTTTCATGAAATTAATAATAACTTTGTAACTATCATGTACGAGATGAGAGGAATTACGTTTGTTACACAAGACGTATTAAGGGATATAAGTAAAGACTCAACTATCTTCTAAGGTCACTGTTTTTTCAATGTAAAGGATTGAGGGATTTGTCATGTTAAAGGTGTGGTTCAGGTTTATCATATGTAAGAAAGCATCGTTTTGAATTGATTTGGGTTTCTGGAATTATAAGTATGTTGATTAACCCTCTTGTAAATATATTGGGAAGTTTCACCAATGTACAACTATTACAATCATTGCAGTCCAACCTGTAAACAGAATCAGTAATCCTATCAGCGGGAGTTTTTGATTTAAGAGGAGAAAAAAGGCAACGGAAAGTGTTATCAAAACTGAAAACTAAAAGAAAACCTCAGCGGAAAATAACTTTTTTAAAAAATAAAAAAACTACCTAAAAAGGGTAAACAAATAACACCTTTATATTTATCAAAAGAAGAAGAAATAGATTTAGAAAAAGAATTAGAATTGTTAAGATAGGAAGAACTGTTTAAATTGTTTTGTAAAAACTCTAATCTATTTTAATAACATTATTTACTAAATATGACGGATATATATATATATATATATATATGACGGATATATATATATATATATATATATATAATATTATTCATATTTCTATTACCTGTAACAATCATCGATGTTCACACAAAATGCTTTATTGACAACTCTTAAAACAGCATCTCTAGAAGTTGTAAAATAAGAATCAGCATTTTGGATTCTCAAAAAAGCATTTCTGGAACACCCAGTGTATACAGAGTATCCTCGACAGGCTATTTCAAATAGCAAATCTTCCATTCCAAAAGTATCCATGCTAATAACTATTTTCATGTTTGAATAATTCCTAAAATCAAAATTTTAATTACAAATTTGTTAGAAACATTTCAGTTTATATTTTCAATATATTTGGATATTTATTTCATCTTTGACTATTTCTTATATAATATATAAGAATAAATACTTGTAAAATACAAAATTGTAAATATTGAAAAGAATGTATGGATAAAATGAGTAATTCAATATTTAAGCATTTCTTAATTAATTTATCACATTAAATCAATCAGTCAGTCAATTATTCGTTTTTTTTATACAGTTGAGACTTTTAAATAATTTGTTACTAACATTAGTATTAAATCACGAAGATATTTTTTATTTATGTATCAAATAGCATTTTGAGGTACTTTTTTATACAATTTTAAACTACTTAAATTGTACAAATGCAAAAGATCCAGCAACTGAGTATACTTGTAAATCACCCATAAATTAATTTAGAATTTTTTATTGAATATTTAAACATATACTTAGTTATTAATTAATAAGGAACACCATATTAAGAGAACCAAGACAGTACTACTTTAGATGAACATTTACTTTAAATAAATAAATATTATATATATATATATATATACACCTAAGTCTGTTTTTACACGGTAGATTGGTTCCAGAAGAAGCCGTGTAAAAAAAACGTGTAAAAAAAGACATTGATCTTATACAAAAATGGGTGATTTGTTCCTAATCTCTAAAACCTATTAAAATTAGTGAAAAGCAAGAATTTTTAAGAACAAGAATTCATGTTTATTTTATTAAATCAAATATATAATTCTGATACTATCGATGGTTTCAGACTTTTTTCTTTCATAAATACTTTTCTGTGATATGAACATACTTCGCAAAAATTAAATTTGACAAAAAAAATTTAAGTACATAAAATTTCAAATCGTGCTAAATGGAATAAAATCGCGTAAAAAAATTAAAAATATTCAATTTTCAAACCGTGTTATATCAAAACCGTGTGAAAACAGACTTAGGTGTATATATATATATATATATATATAATGTTAACCATATTATAAATATTGTTATAAATAAAATAAAATATAAATATTATAATTATTGTTAATAACAATTCAGTGGCGATTTATTCAAAACAGAATTTGTAAACACAGTTTCTTTATGTAAGTATATGACAAATGCATGTAATAAAATTTAACTCATTTTTTATTTTCAGGTAAAATTTAGAATACAAATACTTGATAAATAAAATGTATTTTTATCAAGTATGTGCCATGAAATAAAGATAAAGAAACTTTTGAAAAGAAAATAAGAATCACACCACATTGTATTTGAAGCAAAAATGCATTTCTTAATCACAAATACTGAGAGAATTAATTTAATTATAATAATTGTAATAAATTTGAATAATTGATTATGATAATTGTAGATTATGAAATGATATATATATATATATATATATATATATATATATATACACTTCAAATGATGGCAGTATTTATGTAAATCTTATGATATGAAATAAAAATAAAAGAAATTAATCTTTTGTTTAAGAAATCTGAAGCTTAGTTACCTCTTATGACATTTCTCCTGATTTAAGTAAATTATCTTTAATTATTAGAATATGATTTATTTGCATTTGCAGTGTGTACCCTTCATCATCCTTATGGCAAAGTTATATTGTTGAGTGTAAATAGATCTATTCAAGGCTCGAGTAATCCAAATATCTGCACAAATCCTCAACTAAAGCCTGAATAATAATAAATTGATTATAATTTCTGTGTAGTTGTACTTAAATAGAAAAAAATATTTTTGTACTTAAATTATATTAAATGTTAAGATTCCTAATCTCTTCATAATGTAATAAAAATATTTTATATAAATGTTCATGATATAAAATAAAAATAAAAGAAATTAATCTTTTTAAACTTTTTTCTGAAGCTTACTGTAACATTTAGTTCAAAATTTGACAATAGTTACCCCTTATGATATTTCTCCTGATTTAAGTTAGGTTTAAATTATCTTTAAATATTAGAATATGATTTATTTGCATTTGCAGTGTGTACCCTTCATCATTCTTATGGCAAAGTTATATTGTCGAGAGTGAATAGATCTATTCGAGGCTCGAGTAATCCAAATATCTGCACAAATCCTCAACTAAAGTCTGAATAATAATAAATTGATTATAAATTCTGTGTAGTTGTTCTTAAATAGAAAAAAATACTTTTATTTTTTTTTACTTAAATTATAATAAATGTTAAGATTCCAAATCTCTTCATAATGTAATAATAATATTTTATGTAAATGTTCATGATATAAAATAAAAATAAAAGAAATTAATCTTTTGAGACTTTTTTCTGAAGCTTACTGAAACATTTAGTTCAAAATTTGACAATAGTGATCTCTTATGATATTTCTCCTGATTAAATGTTAAGACTGAAAATAAATAGTAGTCTGCCCGAAGTTTAAAATACAAATACTTGATAAATAAAATATATTTTTTATCAAGTATGTGCCATGAAATGAAGATAAAGAAACTTTTGTAAAAGAAAATAAGAATCACACCACATTGTATCTGAGCAAAAATGCTTTTCTTAATCACATATACTGAGAGAATTAATTTAATTATAATAATTGTAATAAATTTAAATAAATGATTATGATAATTGTAGATTATAAAATGATATACGAGTATATACACTTCAAATGATGGCAGTATTTATGTAAATCTTATGATATGAAATAAAAATAAAAGAAATTAATCTTTTGTTTAAGAAATCTGAAGCTTAGTTACCTCTTATGACATTTCTCCTGATTTAAGTAAATTATCTTTAATTATTAGAATATGATTTATTTGCATTTGCAGTGTGTACCCTTCATCATCCTTATGGCAAAATTATGTTGTCGAGTGTAAATAGATCTATTCGAGGCTTGAGTAATCCAAATATGTGCACAAATCCTCAACTAAAGCCTGAATAAAAATAAATTGATTATAAATTTTGTGCAGTTGTTCTTAATTAATAATTATGCTTAAATATAAAAACCTATTTTTGTACTTAAATTATATTAAATGTTAAGATTGAAAATAAATAGTAGTCTGCCCAAAATTTAAAATACAAATACTTGATAAATAAAATATATTGTTTATCAAGTATGTGCCATGAAATAAAGATAAAGGAATTTTTTGTAAAGAAAGTAAGCATCACACCACATTGAATTTGAAGCAAAAATGCATTTTTTAATCACAAATATATATATATATATATATATATATATATATATATATAATAGTACTGAGAGAATAATTCGAGGCTCGAGTAATCCAAATATCTGCACAAATCTTCAACTAAAGCCTAAATAATAAATTAATTATAAATTCAGTATATAAATGTATGAATTATATTAAATATTAGGATTCCAAATCTCTTAATAATATAATAATGATAATAATAATCTATAGTATTTTGTTTGAATGCAGGTAGATGGTATGAGACAACTATGTCTAAATAAATAATTCTCTTACCTTGTGCCCGTGCTTTGACTTTCAGTTCCCTGTATTTTCTATTTTCTATTTTTTTTTTCTATCACAGCTGCATTCTTCTTCTTCCCAATCCTTTCGGTCCTTCTATTTTCATTTTCAGTCCTTCGTGTAGAAGGTACTCGTTTTGCAGAATGAGCCCAGACCAGTTTTCTTTACTTTTCAGGATCGAGCTCAGTAGAATTCTTTCTTTGTTTAAAGTCAAACTTGTAATATAAGTACACTATCTAGCCTATCGTGCCATGATCACCTCGTTA